CTTGCGAAGAATGCATATATTTTCAAGTATACAACAACAGAATTCTCTCCTTACCTTAATAGATCTTATGCCTAAAAATGTTTTTCTACTTCAGTCAGGAAATTTTAAGCAAAGCATATTGGTTTTGCATTGCTTCAAATCATTTTATATGTCTTAAACACCTACAGATAAGGAGTCTCAAAAGGTAGCTAATCGCTTTTAAGAAAACCGCCAATAGGTGTGCTAAGCTTTTATATACCTCCAATAAGTTATCATTCAAAATATGTTGTTAATGTAATAGCAAATTGATTATGAACTGGACTTTGGTGCAGTATATTTGCATAATCCGAATCGATAATGAGTGGGTTGTGCACTTCACAGATGGGCGGTGTGAAAAAGGACTCTGAATTGGTGGCAATCGGTTATATTGACAATTTTAGCCGCATTTCATGACAATTAGAGTTCATTCAAAATTCAGACGACCTAATTTTGTCTGTCAAACTGTTCGACAGGTTTTCCCACCACCCACTAACCACCAACCACAGGCAGTTAACTTTTTGGCACAGATAGGAATATTTTGTGGGACACGTCAAAGTTTTTTGCCTCTTGATTTTTCTTTCATTTCGGTTTGTTTATTTATGAAATTCAATTTCTCGTTTTTTATCGGGTAAAGTCAGGTGCGGGCGGACTTAAGCCACACATGCACGCAGTCAAATGAGATTAATAATAATTTAATTAAAACTCGTGGGCTTAATGCATTTCGCTTGTAACGGACTTCAATGCGAACTTCGGTGCGATGCTCTTCTTTTCTAGGGTTTTTTTGTGCCTGAAATGAAATTTAATTAAATTTTGCACTTATCGTTTTTACACAACCCACACGGACAAAGGCCACAAACGAAAGTTTCAATGGCAGCCTCACTCGAATGCAGGCCACGCCCACCACTGACCAATGTTCATATATTTTTTTGTTGAAAAGCAAAACCTACATTTTCTGCCATTTAAAAAAAAATTCCTCAGTCTCCTCTTATTTTGAATCAATTAATTGACTGTACCATTGTGGTTGTTATTCAAGCTGTTCATGTACTGGAGTCAGCACACAGTCACAAAACAAACTTACACAGAAAAAAAGCTGCACTGATTTATTTGAAATTTCCAATAAATGAAAACGGTCTATGAAATGTTTCTTAAATCAAGAATCAGCGTTTAAAAAACAAAATCAGAAGGTGGGGCGAGGCAGACAAATATTTCGATTATGACTTCCTGTTTTATTTAATCGAAGCTTTAGATAACCAATCTCATTGAAGTTCCAATTGACCAAGTTTAAATCTGATACAACAAAATATTGTTATTTCTAAACAAAAACAACGTTGCTAATCAGTCATCCAAAAATTTATTAACGCAATTACATAGTTTCTGATATCTCCAAGAATGCGAGTAGATAATAAAGTTGGAAATTCAGAAATTGAGCAAACGCAGAAATTATTATAAACGTGACTTAAATTAAACGCTGCTTAAATTCATGTTTAGAATGCTTATTTACTTCGAAAACATATTAGTTTAAATATGGATTCCATTTTAAAAAGGGCTAAAAAACTGTTTCATCACAAAACCAAATGTTCATTAATTTTTTCCATTTGTCAAACAAATTGACTGTGCGGCACTTTGGTCTCGAACATTTGGCAGCCTTTTTTGATGTTATTCATATCATTGTCCTGGTGGACAATGATAGGCATTTTGTATTTCGCATAAAGTGGCATAACTTCTTCAAAGAAATGATACTCCAAATTATTGCGTCTTAGTACAAAAACCATTCCCATACCATGATACAATATCCACCACGTTTATCTATTTGCTTGAAAATTGGTGTTAAATTCACAGTTTGAAGTAAGATCGAAGGCCTTTTTCTTATAGTAAAATAATTTCGGCTTAGTCAGAACAATATTTTCCGCCTTTCCTTGCCGCCAACTCCCCCCCATTCTCGATTTCAAATTTTGACGATTTTAAATGGGCTGGAAAATGTACATATATTATTTTTTAGGCTTGCAACTTTGCATCCATTTAATTGAAGACTTAAATAATAAGAAAAAAATTTAACATAATTTTTTTTTTTTTTATGTCATTGAACAAAATCTCTTCTGTTTGACGGCGTAGTAGATTTAAGCTCACTGGAACATATGAAAGCAAAAATTCCAACGGGATTAGGAAGCCACAAATCAAGGTAAAAACTAAAGAAGATCTTCACCTGTTTGATTTATCCTAGTTCATGCTATAGCTATATATGCATAGAAAAACGTTTTAAAATTGGAACCGATTGGATTAATATCGTAAAAATACTGTTTCGAGAAAAACGCGTTTAATGTTTTGAGAAGCTCTCGCCGTCGCCAGAGGCTTCCACCATAAATCGGCTATATCTTCAAAAGTTTTTGAAATGTTTTCTTGAAATTTTAAAGGAACATTCTTGAATAGTTATAATTTCGAATTAAATTTAAAAAAATCGATTTTTTGAAACTGAGAATGGGGGGCGCCTTAATTCATATTCACATAAACGATATCCAACTTTTCTAATGCTCTTTAACATGTTACACTTTTTCCGACATTGTGGGAGAATTCACTTTTCTTTTAGTATGTAGATAATCCTTTACACAAAAAACCTAATTAATTTTCTTAGTAATGGCTGTCCACGTAGTGACAAATCCCACCAAGACTGTCTGGTAAGAGTCTTATATTACTGTGGACGGCAAAACACATAGTGACGATGCGCTCTTGGGGAGTGCGATGAGGCGACCACTATACACTCAAATAGAAAATCTGTTGTGATAGTTCGATCAGAACGAGTAATATACCGAGGTACATACATAGGTACCTTAACATAAAGGATTGCATACAAAACTGTAAAGAAAACAAACTTTGAAAATTTGAGCTGTTGCGGTCTGTATGGCAAAATATAAATAGTATAATATATTGTATCGGAAAAGTCATAACTTTGGTGTTTTTAAGGTTAAGAAGTTGGGAATTTTTATGGGTTTTATATTTGGCCAATCAATCCGACCCATAAAAAATCCCAACTTACTAAATTTAAAAACACCAATGTTATTGCAATTCCGATCGTTCAGTTATATGGCAGCTATATGATATAGTCGCCCGATCCGGCTCGTTCCGACTTATATACTACCTGCAATAGAAAGACAACTTTTGGGAAAGTTTCAAGCAGATAGCTTTAAAACTGAGGGACTAGTTTGCGTAGAAACGGACAGACGGACGGACAGACGGACATGGCTAGACCGACTCTCCTGGTGATGCTGATCAGGAATATATATACGTTATAGGGTCGGAAATGACTCCTTCACTGCGTTGCAAACTTTTGACTGAAATTATAATACCCTCTGCAAGGGTATAAACATAACTGGGGAAGGATGAAGATAAAGTTCTAATGAAATTTTAATGTATTCTACAAAAACAAATAATTAATTTGTTACCAAATAAATATATTCTAAAAATATTCTTATTGAAATTAAAAATTAAAAATTTTTTTAAACTTAAAACTCATAAATTATTGATGTTTAAAACTAAATCTTTTGATATCAAAAACATCACTTAAAGAGGAATAAATACACTTTTGAAAAGTTTCTTATAAGTCCAACAAGGTTTATGCCAAAACCTGAAATAAATGTACTTTTGTTATTCTTGTAAGTTTTGTGATTTCAAAAAATAATTAACTTTCTTTACCAGACACCTGACAGCACGATTGTATCGCATAAACAGGGCTATTTTGATTTAACGTATTCAAAAAATTCGTGAAATTTTTAGCATAAACATTCCTTTGAGAAAAATAAGCTTAAATAAAAAGAATAAAAACAATTTAGAGTTCATTAAAACAAAATTTGTTAAATCATAGGGTTTGAACAATTTGTCAAATTTAAAATTGCAATTTGATTTACTTATTCTAAGGATTTAAATAAATTTAATAATGAAAATCATATTGAAACAAAAATATATGTTTTAAACAAATAATATAAATTTCATCAAATTTGTTGACGAAAGACATTATATTTTTGTGTAAAAAACTCCAGAAAATTTTCAATCCAAAAAATGGGACCTTATTGACCTAACTGAGTAGCGTGTTAATGAACTAATTTTCTTTAATTCCCAATAAATATGTAATTTATCTCCTTTTTTTAACACATTTAACACAATAAATATATATTTTAACCACTCTGGATTTAGACCAACTTTTAACTAGTTTTGTCACCGTTGAAGGTCATTTGAACCTGGGAAATTGGGAAGTCCCAATTAGAAAAACTAAAATCCCATCACGTCAAGTCTAATTATAATTGTGTTGTTATTGTGGTTCACTTATTTATAATGAACTGAAAATATTTGTGTAATCCTTTGTCGCTGTTTTGGCGTAAAATTAATTACATAATTTAATTTAAAAGCAATTCATTACTTTTGCAATTGTTTGTTGTTGTTGGTTTCATTTGCGCGTTATATTTTAATCCCTTTCATTAATTGCAAGCAGAATAGAACGAGGATGGGAAAAGGGGTTTCAAATTTAACCCACATTTCCGACACTCTTTCCATTGAAATTATCGAATGGTAAACTGCAGTGATCGGGAAATCAAATCAGAATTTCTGTTAAGTTTAACAGCACCAAGCCACTCAAAAGCACCACACTCCACTCAGCTCTATCGATCATGCGCAGGCAAGGCTTTACTGAGTGCAAGCGGGACGACCGTATGTGTATGTGTTGCAAACTCACTGGATTCTCGCCTCTCTCGCTCGCTCTCTTGTTGAGCGCCAGTACACCCCCGTCGCCTTTTCCGTTGTTCATCGCAGTATCTGCTTCACCTTTGGTTCGGCGACTCATTTCGGCTGAAACGACAGGAGAGTCACAGAGCGCGAGAGAGAGAACTGAGTGGTTCTTTGAGTGGCACCCACACTTTGGTAAGACCGCGCCTGCGCACAAGAAAAATACCGCGAAAAGGCAAAAAGTACCAAAATATCCCTAGTATTTGGCGTTCGCAACAGAAATCGGCTCAAACGGCGAAAAATATTGGTGGTGTTCGGTTCTACGTCGCGCAAAGTCCCGCAGAGCTAAGAATATATCTCAGAAAATCGGAAATTTACAGATTCACTTAAGTTCACGGTGTGTAGCCAAGCCATTGAAAAAGTAACGACCGAAATAAATTCAACAATTCGCATTGCAACTGCAAATCTAAAGTGTGCTCAGGCCAACGAAGTGAGAAAGGAAACAGAGAGGCACTGAATTGTTAATAAACGTGTAATAACAATCCGGCAAATAAACCCGATTCCGATCTACAGCAGAAAAACGTGAGCTCCTTTTCCACTAAAATTTGATTACTTTTCTGGGCCTTTTTAACGGCCTGGCCGCGTGAGTTTTTTTCAAAGCGGTGTTTTGTGTTTGATTAACAACAAATTAAGCATAATTAAAACGTTCTCTCTGCGTATTTTCTATGTATTTTACCCCAACCGGCAAAAAAAAGCCGTCGCGTGTTGCTGTCTGTGTTTTCCGTGTTTGTGTGAGTGTGTGTGTACTGCATACAGCTTTTTAAACTTTGTGCAAAAAAAGAGGAACGAACAAAATAAGTCCAGCATCCACTCAAATTGATTTTTGTTCTCCTCCGTCGTTATTTTTCCTATTTGCCTTCTCGCGTTCTCCGCTCTTTGTTGTCATTGCCGATTCCCTTTACGCCTGCATTCGCCGAGATACCCTGTAAATCTGAGAGTCGGTGTGGAATCTGATAAGCTAGCGTTGTTTTGGTGCCTGATTCGCCACCCTTATCGGCTGGAAGGGGGCATTTCTGCATTTTTGCTGCCCAAATCCAAAACCAGTCCCATTATGCTCTCTATACCCTGGCCAACAAAAAAACGCTTCGTCGTTTTACGCGCGTCTTTGCCTCAGTCGCTCTTGTCGGCTCTCGCGCCCTGAGCGCAAGTCGCTCTTTTCGCTCAATTGTTCAATTGCCAGACAAACTGGCTCTGTTTGCACTGGTGTGCGTCCGTGTGCGTGGCGTCAGGCAGTGTTGCAAAGCGCCGCCCAGTTTGACTTAAAAATTCTAATTGGCGTGGGCAGCAGCTCAGACAAAGCGCGCGATTTCCTTTACCTCGTTTCTTGGTTCATTCCGGCTTCTTAGCCACTCATGGACTTCTTTCCTCTTTTTTTTTTTTTTTTCATATTTTGAACATATTTTGACCTCTAATGTGTTGTAATTGTTTTCTTATTATCCATACAATCAAAATTATACACACTATGTTTTTAAATTAATTTTTACAATTGGCCTTTCGATTTATAAGCGATCAAATAATTATTATTCATTTAACTAAAATATAATATAAGTAGATGTTAAAAAACGTATAGTAAGGTCACAAGTATCTTTTTGCTGAAGGTAAAGGTTTGGAACGATTTCAAACATTCTTATAAGAAAACATCCAATCGTTTCGAGTGCGTTTATGCCTAATAACTAAAACTTTCTGCGGCTGGCTAGTTAGAATCAATTTTGGCAACCAGCCCTTTTTCCTTTTTTTGTGTACCGTTTAATCACTTCCGCGCCGTCAAACGTTTGACTCTGACTCGCAAAAAAGGCGTTGCCAGGGCTCCTTTTAATACATATATAAGAAACATAAGTCTTATCAGACCCTGCCAAGGCAACAGATTCATCCCGAGAAAACTTTTCGCAGCTTTGCCGTTTTCATTGTTGCTTTTGTTGCTGCCTGCAGCTGGGGAAACTCAATTGTGATTACTTTTAAAGGCGAAACCGTCGCCATCGTCGTCGTTCTCGACGCCTCGCTGCGCTTGAAAACGGATTTGAATCTCCCTTACACTGAGAATATAGCGTTGCAAAAATCGTAAACTTCTTTAATAAATAAGACTAAGAACTGGTTTTGAATGTGGTCGGTAATTTGAAAAGATTTAAAATCGATAAGATTAGATTCAAAATATCTTCTAAATTTATTACTGGTTTCTCTCAAATTTTTTGAAGTAAATGCCTGTCCTAATATATAAACTAGACTTTGACTTTAAGATACCCTCATCAAAAGTATGCATTCATGAATTAACAAAAAATCCATATTCTTGATTCGATTTTTTAAAAATATATTGTTTATTATGTAAGAAAAAATATATTCTGAAATCTATATTGTTATTATTATAATGTCACACCAGACACCAAAATGAATTTTTTCCAACCAAAGGGCTGTGCCAGCAAATTAAAATTCTTAGGTTTTTTAGGTAAAAAGTGTTATAGTTCTTATGGACTAAGAAACATAAGAATAATATAAAAAAATTCATATATTAATTAGTTGGGATCCAAACTCTGATTAGGATGAATATTTATTCATACAATTGATTTTAAAATTGTTTTCTTTTTTCCATTTTCAGTGTAGCGCACTTCCTAAACATCACCTACCCCTCTTTTTATTGTTATAATTTACTATATATCATTTACTATATTTACACATCCGGGGAGAAACTTTCTGGAGCTCAGCTCAGTGCAATTATTCCAATCGGTTATTCATAGCCAGCAATTATTGGTAAAACTACATAGGGATTACACGAAATCAGCAAAAGTTTATTTTGACTATATATAAAAAGGTAAAATGTTATGATAAAATGAATAGAATTTTATTAAAGAAATGCTAAACTTGAAAGTAAAAGTTAATTCATTAAAATTTGATTAACAAATTGATGTATACAATTTTAATTATCACGTGTTAGATTAGATTAGGAACCATTGCTTGGGTATAACTCACTGATAACTCACTTAAATTTTCAAAGATCCCTTGAAAAAGTTGATTTTAATTCTATTATGAGATTGAGGCACACTTTGAACTACAACAAAACATTTTTTTTTATTAGAGGATGAGTCTTTAAATATTTGGCGGTTTCAGAAATTTTTTTCTATATTTTTGGAACAAATTAGGTTCAGGAAGTTAATAACAAAAAAGCAACTGTCGATGAGTTTAGTTGTTTGATTTTGGAAGTATTACAAATTAACGACATAATTGTTATTTAATCGGAAATAATTTTTATAGGGATGAGAGGTATGAGATACACATGTAAGATAAGATAAAATATGTATGTTGATTAGTTTCCATTTTAACCATGAAGATTTTGAATAATTTTATTTGAAGCGACAAGTGTAAACAAACTGCATTTTTACTGCAATCGTAGAAATATATCCCAACTTCTTTCCTGACTCAATCTCACCAGTTTTCTTGTACTTTCAGCCCCTTTCTCCTCGCTTTTGGGACCGCTTTTGTTTGACTCTTCGGCTTTTGGCTGCTTCCCTTTACGCTTTTGTTGCATTTTCTTTTTAGGCATGTGTTTCCACCTCCTCTGCAAATTTTTCGCACTCGGCCTGTTTTGTGCAATCGCTTTGTCGCCGTCGTCTTCGTCGTCAACGTCATCAGCATTTTGCCTTTTTTGTTGTGTGCATTTTCCTTGCTGTTTTCCATTTACTTTTCCCCAGTCGCTTCGCTCGTTCGTTCGTTCTGCTGCGTTGGATTTCAACCTGTCAAGGGGGCGCAAGGGGGCGCTGGGTGGTGGGGTGGGCCGACTGCCCCTGTGTGAGTGAGTATCTATGTGTGCGTTGGCTGGGCTGCAGATTGAGGTCTGTACTTTGTTGCACTTTCTTGCCCGCCTGCATTTTCTAACTGGTTGGGCTAGGACCCATCGTCGCTAAGTCGACGCTGCCGGTGCGACTGCAGTCTGTAGGCCGTTGACTGCATTGAGTGGCGTCTCCTTCCTGCCCGCCACCCCCCTTCGCCGCCCCCAAGCACCGCCTCTTATCGTTGACCCTGCGCGCCACTTATTTCGTTCCTCTTCGCCTGCATCTTCTGGTACCGGTACCAGTACCAGTGCCAGTGCAGTGCATTTCTTTTGCTTCGAAGCCCCACCAGAGCCAAGCACTCAACCCGTTTGGCGGTGGCTACAGTTGGGGTACAGTGGGCACTCCGTTCGGGACCCTTGCGATTACTGCTGCGGAGTTCGTGCGACTACCCCATTTGGCGATTTAAACGTAACTTTTGCGTAATCTTGTTGAGCACTGCTAGTTGGTTGGAATCGTCGGAAATATATAAAAAAAACATAATCGTGTTTACTAATCAACTTGACCTAATTAACTCTTTTTAAAGGATATAATTGTAAGGAGTTCGTCGTTGTGTTTTGGCTGAAAAATTAATTTAGTCCTTCTCAATTGACTGTAACTAAAGCGCTCCCTGTTGCATTCTGGTGTCCAAAAATTATTTTGAATTTTTATTTGTTCTAAAAGGGTTTTTATTTTCGTTGAAAAGTATGTAACAGGTAAAAGGAAGAATTAATTATTTTGACCAGAATTATTAGCCGATTTGATCAAGACAATCTGATGTCCGAAATCTATAATAGTCAGAAAGTTGGAATTAAGAATTTATTCTTTATATGCCTACGCAGGCTATTTCCAAAATTGGCCACGCCCACCCTAAAGCTCTTAAATAACAAAACTCCGTAGAGATTGGTGAATAACACGGCGCCGTCTGCCGGTTGGCTATTTACTTTGAAATTGTTTAGCAGACAATCTGGTATATGATATATAACGTTTCTTTGTTCTTTATCAAAACTTCCCTTTTATAGCAGTCAGTAAGAACTCACTACTTCTACCAATTTAAAAATAACTTGACTTGATTGCTAGACAATAATTTCAAAACGCAATTATGACCTTTCTCAGGAGAGGTTTTCTGCAATAAATCATTGCTTTGAATCAAAGGAGTTGGCTTAATGGTTTCAGACCATCAATTTTATGTTCTTTTCTGTGATGTTGGATGAATTTACCATTACATTCGATCCTCTTGGCAAAGTCTTGCCATATCGAGTCCCTCCTGTTGTGCAGAAGTGGGCATAGGCTCTTTCTGTAAGGGCTTTCGGCTGGTGGTGCTGCTACCTCGCCACTTAACCGCCTTTCCGTCTTTTGGCTTTTGTCTTTTCACACTCTACACTGAAGGGATATGGTAGGATGAGGGGCGGTGTTGGAGCAACCACCTGACCTGCCAAGCAATTGGCGTTTGCCACCAAATGTCATTTAACCCACCCAGCCACCCACTCGAGTCGGCCACTCTTCTCTGCTCTCTTGGCTGGTGAAATATGCAAGGCAAATGTAATCATTATTGATTTTGTGGTCTCTCTGGAACTGCGAACTGAACCAGTCCGGAAAGGAGGGGGACTGACTGGGCATTCGCACACATTAGTATGTTAGATTATCCAAGCCGTAGCTGCTGAAGCTGCTTAAATATGCAAAACGTTGACGATCCTTGCGGGCGGCAGAGGGTTGACGGATGGG